GTCCTAACACAAAAGTGGTGTATATACTAAGATTAAGAAGCTCTTGATGTTCTGGGCGTGAGAATAACCATTCATTGCCTTGGATTCATCAAACTCTGAAGAGATACTTAAAATACCGGAAGTTACATATAAAATATGGTTCCGGATTTGGGAGGATTTCTCACATTAGTTTCAATTGTTTGGCAAGGAGACCCCATAGCAAGAGTTATTCTCAAAACTCGAGTTCTAACAAAATCGAAGGATCTCATAACCTTTTAAAGAAGATATCTATTTGGGGTCTTGTCAATCGTCCAATAGTAATTTTACATAATTTGGGTGCGCAACTCTGGCCGCACATATATATGTATAAGTATAATTCCGGCATTGGATTTTACCATATGGAGTGTACGTTTTAAGATATGGAGGGTCGCACCTATTTTGCAATGTCCGAGTGTAAATGTACACTCTGAACTCTCGATTCGATTGTGTAAGAGCTTTGCGCCTTCTTTTCTTGCAAGATAAACATCAGAAAGACATGGAAACTTAAATCTTTGTTTAGAAATTTTGATTTTCATTTAGATATTAGTCCTAAGGAATCTCCTCACATTTGTTGGAGACCACAGAAAAATAAGACCGATATAATTAGAGAAGAACTATTTTAAGTTCAAATGGTCGGGCATGCTCGACTTTCAAACTGTCAATTGATTTTAATTTATTAATCTCTTTAACTCACCTAAATGCATCGCTTAACAATTCATCCAATCTCGAAATCGATTCCTCTAAAATAATTTTCGAATTTTTACGATACATTTTCAAATTATTAAGAAAGCTGCGAGATGAATCCAAATGGGCATAATTGATGTACATTCCAAAATCATCGGCTCTACTTTCCCACGATGTAATACACATATTGTAAAGGGAAGATTTCTCAGTTGTACTGTTAAAATTTAAAATATCAAAAACGGGACGATCCATGAGCAGGGCATAGAGCAAAACATGTGGTACCGTAGTATTGGGAGCTTGAGGATTAGAGCATTCATTCATACTGGTTAAGGTGGGTCTAAGTTTGGCCTCGAACATAAAAGCATCATCGGTATACTTTTGACGTAGCAAATGCCAAGCTGAAGTGAGTTTTTGAATCTTGCGGGAAAAATAAATTTAGTTATAATTTAACGCTATATGCAAAAAGATTTTAAGACTTACTTGAGGCATACACAAACCCAACATTATGGTGGAAAATCCAAATAGATTTCCCAAAGCAGTCTTCGTCTCTACCGCTACTTGTATCCATTTACTTAATATTTCGGCACGATCTAAATCTGTTTGACAGGTGAGTATTGTTACGGCCACCATTAATTTTAAGCATTGCGTACGCTCTACTATATCTTTGCGAAATATTTTACCCTGTGGCAGAGTCAACATTTCCAGACCGGAGTAATCAAAAATATTATTACAATTATTGCTTTCTGACTCGGGTTCCGAATTGGGTTCTTCTATTAGCAGGCCAATATCTATGCGTGTTATATGTTCGGCCAACATTTTGGGACCAGTTTCCAGTAACATGATTTTAAAAGTATTCAAGGCATCACCATCCAAGGGGTTGTTTTCGCACGAAGGCAAAAGAAGAGTGCTGAAATTCTCCACATCAAATTTGGAGGTCTGGAAGTAAGAAAGTAAACAAGAAATATAATAAACTTTAATATTCATTTAGTAAGGACTATTTACCCCTTTAAAAGAAGGTATTTCTAGAGTAAATAGCTGATCCTCTGCTGCCTCTACATCAAATTCACTCAAACTTTTCAACGTAACCGATGACACCGATGTGGTCATAAAGCGAGGATTTTTTATAATCACACCACGATGCATTATGAATTCATTCATATCTCCCGGCATTGAATCGCCCGAACCATTACCAGAATCGGAGCCACTCAATTGATATATACCAGCCATTCCACCCTGTCTCTGCAAAGGATATTGCTGTTCTAAACCCGATGGCTCCTTGTTAGGGCGAGACAAACTGCCAGTTTGGCCAGCATTACGATTTGGTTTTGGTGGTGGACTAGGTGGTTTTTCGGGTAATTCAGGGATTTTACTTATTTCCAAACTAGAAAACATACTAGCCGAAGAATCGGCATTAAAATCTCTAGCTAAACTGGAAGTACGATTAAGATTGTTGCGAAAATTATTGGTAGCTGGTCGTGGCAGTGAATGGGTGGTGAATTTTATATGATTATCCACCATATCGTTGGCTGTACAACGAGCTATAGTCTGAAAGCCATTGGTTGGTATTTTACCATGCATATTTAGATTTCTAAATGAGAGTGCAATTGGGTTTCATTAGGAGAACCGCAAATGCTATTGCTCTTTTCGAATTGGCTAAACGTCTAACATCAGGACGATAACCCTGACCATTGGCTTGGTTAAGCTGATTCATGGAACCGCTATTAACGATTGCATCCATGCCTGTACCACCTTGTATTACCCCATCAGCACTGTTGCCTGCTTCGGCATTTTTCATGTTAGACACCACAATTGCCTGAGCAGGAGTTAAACTTTGGGAACGTTGCTTCTTGGAAGGTAATCTTGGTGCGGTATTAAGTTTTCCTCGTGGTGGTGAAGACATGGGACTTTGTTGTTGCATTATCGGTTGTCCTATGGAGGTGGGCAAAGACTGCTGATGTTGTAGCATTCCATGCAATTGTTGCTGTTGACTGATGCCGGAACAGGTCATACCACCGAAACGAAATCCTGCATTTGCTGCTAAGGGTGAGTTAAGAGGACTTGGTCCTCTTAAACCTGCCAACATTTGGCTATGCAATTGATTTCCTACGATCTTGTGACCATAGAATGACAATGGGTAATTACGATTACAGGATATTGTATAAGAGCTCCAGAAGCCAAAGAAATGGGTTTACCTAATAAACAAAATGGCGTTGAAAACTATATCTCAAATTTTTATAATCTATAAAAACCTTACCAGAACCCACATAAAAAGTTATAAGATCGGAATGGCATCAAATGCATCCTCCTCAAACTGATATTGTATGCGTTCATACACGGTTTCGGGTTGTACCAAAATCTTAAAAGAAATAGAAAAATATATAATATACATATATATTAACAGATCCATAACTTGTCTTTCCCTCACCTTATTTATAACAAAATGCAATACCGCCCCATTGCTGCGACAAGTCAAAACATAATTATGCGGCTGAGATGTACAGTCTCTGATTAGAAATCTCCCTCTCGCTGAACAATCTCTTCGGCACGTTGCCGTGGCAGAGGACCATGATACCAAGCATGTGAACGTAAATCACGTGAATCTAAACTAAGTTCCCATTCTAGGGCTTTCTTAAGTGCTAAAGCCTCCTGCTGTTCATTTGTTGGCGGTAATATTGAACCCATCAACGATGTGGGCTGATTGAAAGAACCCGAATTCATAGAATCATTATCCATAGTGATGTCTTCGATTTTCGTGTCAGAATCGTTCGAAGGATTATCGCTATTGTTGTCACGTGGTTTTTAGTTCTTCATAGCTAAAAAAGTTTGGAAGGGAATAATTAATAACAAATTTAATGTTTAATAAAATATAATTTAATACTTATTCATCTAAAATAACTAATATAGAAAAGTATTTTAATTGTAAATAGTGAGAGATCTTCTATATCAAAAATTACCGAATTCTTTATCCCTGTTAACCTATTAACTCTCTCAGTAATATGAAGTAATTTCACAGAGAATATATAAGACAGTTACAGTGTTTATTGAAGGGAAGCCCAAGTCCACTTACATGTCTGTCTAGCACCCCAATGTTCTGTTATTACTGCTATCAACCTGATATATCCCGCCTGTTTCGGTTTAAAAGGTGTCTTTTACGTTTCTCATTGAAGGAGTGCCACAATAACTTGACCCCTTTACATGTGTCTAGGTTATCCCAGCCATTTTCAGTCTTTCAGGCAGTGATACATGCCATCGATACAGCCCCGAGAAGAATACGGGAACTGAATCTCGAAAAAGTCGATTTATACATAGATTCTAATATAATTACTGGACATTGTAGGATTGGACATATGACGGAACCTATGGGCCACCCACGTTATAGCTGCTGGACGAAGAAGAAGAGGAATCGGTACAACACCTTCTATGTGACTCGCCCAGCCTTACAAAAGCACAGACTACTGTATTTTGGTACAGCTCTTTTCCATGATCTGGACTGTCTCTGAGATGCGTCAAATTGGTTTAATTAGAAATACCAATTGGTTTTCATGGAGACCACAAGAACCAAGTACTCAACGCAATTAGGGAGGGAAACCATTCTCTCAACATAAGGCAGTGACAATTCTAAGGCTATCACAATGGGCCACAAGGCCTCCGAGTGAACACGCTAACTAGCGAGCAACCCACGTAACCTGACGAATATAATTTCTAAAAGCCTGACAATGGCAAAAAAAGATCTCCAGAATTTTAAACAGTAAAATGTATAATACAAAAGTTAAAAGTTTTATGTATAAGTTCAAAACATAAAGATCGAATTCCTGGCGACAACGACTGGTGGCTTCGATCTAGCCAGCGAAAGATCTAAAAATCTGAAATCATTTATTTTCTTCGATAACAATTCGGTTTATTAATTTCGTAACATTTAGAAATATTGGTCTAAGCTATCAACCCACGAAAGTTATGAGACAATCGGCTCTTCTCATAACAGGTGTTCTTGTTTTCTATGCTAAACTGGCTTCCCGTGGATCTCCTTGCTAAACAACTGGCAATGGATACTGCAGCCAGATTAAATATTACTAATAGATGGAACTTTTGTTCCAGAGGTCATGCAAAGATTGTAGATCTTCTCCCAAATCTACACCATGCCATTGACTACTGTATTCCGGAACCGTGTATTACGAGAAACTTCCGGTATATTATAAGCTCTGGTTATAATGAACCTACACCTGTAAATGTTGATGGACTAAATGTGTATACGGATGGTTCTAACACAATGGCGAGACATTCAAGAATTACCCACGTTT